CCACCTCATATGTAGCCTAGTATAGAGGCACCTCCACCACCTCATGTGTAGCCTAGTATAGAGGCACCTCCACCGCCTCATGTGTAGCCTAGTATAGAGGCACCTCCACCGCCTCATGTGTAGCCTAGTATAGAGGCACCTCCACCGCCTCATGTGTAGCCTAGTATAGAGGCACCTCCACCACCTCATGTGTAGCCTAGTATAGAGGAACCTCCACCGCCTCATGTGTAGCCTAGTATAGAGGCACCTCCACCGCCTCATGTGTAGCCTAGTATAGAGGCACCTCCACCACCTCATGTGTAGCCTAGTATAGAGGAACTCCATCGCCTCATGTGTAGCCTAGTATAGAGGCACTTCCACCGCCTCATGTGTAGCCTAATATAGAGGCACCTCCACCACCTCATGTGTAGCCTAGTATAGAGGAACCTCCACCACCTCATGTGTAGCATAGTATAGAGGAACCTCCACCACCTCATGTGTAGCCTAGTATAGAGGAACCTCCACCACCTCATGTGTAGCCTAGTATAGAGGAACCTCCACCACCTCATGTGTAGCCTAGTATAGAGGCACCTCCACCACCTCATGTGTAGCCTAGTATAGAGGCACCTCCACCACCTCATGGGTAGCCTAGTATAGAGGCACCTCCACCACCTCATGTGTAGCCTAGTATAGAGGCAGCTTCTACCACCTCATGTGTAGCCTAATATAGAAGCACCACCGCCTCATGTGTAGCCTAGTATAGAGGCACCTCCATCACCTCATGTGTAGCCTAGTATAGAGGCAGCTTCTACCACCTCATGTGTAACCTAGTATAGGGGCACCACCACCTCATGTGTAGCCTAGTATAGAGGCAGCTTCTACCACCTCATGTGTAGCCTAGTATAGAGGAACCTCCACCTCATGTGTAGCCTAGTATAGAGGAACCTCCACCACCTCATATGTAGCCTAGTATAGAGGCACCTCCACCACCTCATGTGTAGCCTAGTATAGAGGCACCTCCACCACCTCATGTGTAGCCTAGTATAGAGGCACCTCCACCGCCTCATGTGTAGCCTAGTATAGAGGCACCTCCACCACCTCATGTGTAGCCTAGTATAGAGGAACCTCCACCGCCTCATGTGTAGCCTAGTATAGAGGCACCTCCACCGCCTCATGTGTAGCCTAGTATAGAGGCACCTCCACCACCTCATGTGTAGCCTAGTATAGAGGAACCTCCATCGCCTCATGTGTAGCCTAGTATAGAGGCACTTCCACCGCCTCATGTGTAGCCTAATATAGAGGCACCTCCACCACCTCATGTGTAGCCTAGTATAGAGGAACCTCCACCACCTCATGTGTAGCATAGTATAGAGGAACCTCCACCACCTCATGTGTAGCCTAGTATAGAGGAACCTCCACCACCTCATGTGTAGCCTAGTATAGAGGAACCTCCACCACCTCATGTGTAGCCTAGTATAGAGGAACCTCCACCACCTCATGTGTAGCCTAGTATAGAGGAACCTCCACCACCTCATGTGTAGCCTAGTATAGAGGCACCTCCACCACCTCATGTGTAGCCTAGTATAGAGGCACCTCCACCACCTCATGGGTAGCCTAGTATAGAGGCACCTCTACCACCTCATGTGTAGCCTAGTATAGAGGCAGCTTCTACCACCTCATGTGTAGCCTAATATAGAGGCACCACCGCCTCATGTGTAGCCTAGTATAGAGGCACCTCCATCACCTCATGTGTAGCCTAGTATAGAGGCAGCTTCTACCACCTCATGTGTAACCTAGTATAGGGGCACCACCACCTCATGTGTAGCCTAGTATAGAGGCAGCCTCCACCGCCTCATGTGTAGCCTAGTATAGAGGCAGCCTCCACCACCTCATGTGTAGCCTAGTAGAGGCAGCTTCTACCACCTCATGTGTAGCCTAGTATAGAGGCACCTCCACCACCTCATGTGTAGCCTAGTATAGAGGAACCTCCACCACCTCATGTGTAGCCTAGTATAGAGGAACCTCCACCACCTCATGTGTAGCCTAGTATAGAGGAACCTCCACCTCATGTGTAGCCTAGTATGGAGGGACCTCCACCACCTCATGTGTAGCCTAGTATAGAGGCACTTCCACCACCTCATGTGTAGCCTAGTATAGAGGCACCTCCACCACCTCATGTGTAGCCTAGTATAGAGGCACCTCCACCACCTCATGTGTAGCCTAGTATAGAGGCAGCTTCTACCACCTCATGTGTAACCTAGTATAGAGGCACCACCGCCTCATGTGTAGCCTAGTATAGAGGCAGCCTCCACCGCCTCATGTGCAGCCTAGTATAGAGGCACCTCCACCACCTCATGTGTAGCCTAGTATAGAGGCAGCTTCTACCACCTCATGTGTAACGTAGTATAGGGGCACCACCGCCTCATGTGTAGCCTAGTATAGAGGCAGCCTCCACCGCCTCATGTGTAGCCTAGTATAGAGGCAGCCTCCACCACCTCATGTGTAGCCTAGTATAGAGGCACCTCCACCACCTCATGTGTAGCCTAGTATAGAGGAACCTCCACCGCCTCATGTGTAGCCTAGTATAGAGGCACCTCCACCACCTCATGTGTAGCCTAGTATAGAGGCAGCTTCTACCACCTCATGTGTAGCCTAGTATAGAGGCAGCTTCTACCACCTCGTGTGTAGCCTAGTATAGGGGCACCACCGCCTCATGTGTAGCCTAGTATAGAGGCAGCTTCTACCACCTCGTGTGTAGCCTAGTATAGGGGCACCACCGCCTCATGTGTAGCCTAGTATAGAGGCAGCCTCCACCGCCTCATGTGTAGCCTAGTATAGAGGCACCTCCACCACATGTGTAGCCTAGTATAGAGGCAGCCTCCACTGCCTCATGTGTAGCCTAGTATAGAGGCACCTCCACCACCTCATGTGTAGCCTAGTATAGAGGCAGCTTCTACCACCTCATGTGTAACCTAGTATAGGGGCACCACCGCCTCATGTGTAGCCTAGTATAGAGGCAGCCTCCACCGCCTCATGTGTAGCCTAGTATAGAGGCAGCCTCCACCACATGTGTAGCCTAGTATAGAGGCAGCTTCTACCACCTCATGTGTAGCCTAGTATAGAGGCACCACCGCCTCATGTGTGGCCTAGTATAGAGGCAGCCTCCACCGCCTCATGTGTAGCCTAGTATAGAGGCACCTCCACCACCTCATGTGTAGCCTAGTATAGAGGTAGCTTCTACCACCTCATGTGTAGCCTAGTATAGAGGCAGCTTCTACCACCTCATGTGTAGCCTAGTATAGAGGTACCTCCACCACCTCATGTGTAGCCTAGTATAGAGGAACCTCCACCACCTCTCCACTGAAGGTATTTCTGACGCTATGTAGTATATATGGGCATACAACATTTATGTGCTTCTGTACCTGCGATGTCATTCTTGTCTCTGTCGATTCCTCAGTACTATGTACGTCGTGACTCGTGAACATGTCTCCTTTGGATCTTCTTTCCTTCAATTTCGTGAGATGTAGCTAAATTAGTGCTTTCGCGTTGTTCCTGCCTCTCGGCTCTGAGACTAGGTATTTAGCAAAGCTTAAAACTTTTTCTAGATTGTTTTGCGTTTGTCAAGGTAGGATGGCCTTATCAGTGCTGTGCTCGAGGGCTGACCTGGCTGGCTGACGTAGTGCATTATCCTGCATGACCACCTCGCCAGTGCTGTGCTGAAGGTCTGATCTGACTGACGAAGTGTGCAGCATACAGCGTAGCGGCCTCATCAGCGTTGTGCTCGAGGGCTGACTTGACAGTCTGACGTAGTGTAGAGCATCTTGCATGAGCATTGCTCAGTTTCCTGAAGGCCAACCCAACGTTTCGCATTGTGCAGCATCAAGTATGATGTCTCACCAGCGTGGTGTTTCGGGGCTGACCTGATGCACGCAGTGTGCAACATCATGTATAGGGGCCTCGCCGATGCTGTGCTCCAGGACTGGTCTGACTGACGTTGTGTTCAGCATCCTGCATAGCTCATTGCTTTGCTTCTTTAAGGCTGACCTGACGCTTGTCAACCTTGCATACACCGCTAATGTTATTTGGTTTATCTCTTAGGGTAGGGAACGCGTCTGTCTTGCGATTAGCAGACTGAGTATCAAATCTCCACCACTCATTGCGCAAATGACCCACGCGGGTCATACTGTTACTACTAGAAGTATCACAATACTTAAAGGGGCAGAAACGGAGTAATAATCGGGGAGGAAAATTCAGGATTAGCGAGTGAAGCCTACAAGGATCAGTATCACAACTGGTAACTAATTTGTACCAGTTTTCATCATCATATATGAAAATTGTTTGCCAGAAGAGATAAAGTTCTATGTGTTTTCTTTCTGTTGTAGGTTCTTCGCACATTAATTGAACAGCGTTAGCAGAGTAAGTACGGCATTCAGGAAAGTTTAAAAAATAATTCATGATTCTATGTAAGACATATGCAGCACCAGCCTACAACAGAGACATGATCAGGCATTTAAGGAAACTAGAGGAAGTCCAAATTGGTAACGAGACTGTCCTGGAACTGAGAGGGTTAGCCTAAAGGCTAAAAAATTCACTTGGTGGTCTTCAAGGACAGAAGGACCTGGGAAGACATGATAGCAACGTTCAAGTTACTCGAACTTGAGAGGGCAAGTTGTGACAAGCATTTTAAAAGGAGGAGGCACAGCCATTAAGTTAAATGACTTAGTCTAGATGATGAACTAGCGGAAGGAAACGCAAACACACTGTTGAGAATGGGTTAGTCTAGATGATGAACTAGCGGAAGGAAACGCAAACACACTGTTGAGAATGGGTACAACAGGGCTCAAGAGTCAGGGAATTAGTAAAACTTATCGTATGCAGTTAACGGTGGCCAAGAGCTGATTTCGATTCTGGAAACATTAATAGGCGAGTACAGCCGTCCACGCACTTCCACCATAGAATCATCGTCATTAATACCTCGGCATTATTTTGCAAGCTCTTATGACGTATTATGTTTGTTGCAGGCAATATAAAGATATTACTGATATTATAACTATAAGATGGAGTCGAACATTTTTAAGGAGTGTTTAATTTGTGTGAGTTGCTAAGAAATATGTGAGGGGGAAAAGTATTAGTGAAAATGTTGGTACCATTGGTGGTGTTGGCGACTGTGTGTTGCTGTTGGTGCTTGACCTGGCCCTCTCAGCATAATAAACACATTCTCCCACAAAGAACTTCGTCAAATAATGCAATCACCAAAAGGATTGACAGTGATTATAATGACATATACAAATCAAATAAAAGTATTGCTGATATAAGTGCGCAAAATGTTCCGGAAAAGCATTACAATTCAATTAATTTCTGGAACGAGCCAATTGTAGGAATTCAGAATGGAGGGAGCCGGTTTCCTTACCACTTCAACACAGCTTATATATACAACACACTGGTGGTTCAGCGCCACCACCGTAGGAGCCAGACACGGAAGAACGTCCCGACCTCTAGAAGGAAAAGAAGACGGAGAAAAAAATTAAAAAAAGGGTACAATATTGGAAATAAGACGTACGAGAGACCGTATAAGAGGACCTTAAGAACTGGCGGTAAAAACAACACAGGAAGAAAATCAAACTACCCAAACACAGGTGAGTATTATTATTATTATTATTATTATTATTATTATTATTATTATTATTATTATTATTATTATTATTAGGTTTAAAATACATCGTCAGCACGAAGGCAAGTAATTGCCTGGGTAAGCCATTTCGAGCTAACCTAGTTAATTAGCTATGATCATAAACAAACATTTAAGTTTTGACTGATGTTTGTCGTCTCTGTGGCCTTCATTCTTGCTAATAGAAAGCTTTACCCTGGTTATGGCTTAGTTTAGCCACTCTGCTTGAGGTCAGAGAGCAAATCCCAGAAAGTGAGTGGTTCCTTGCTATCCAATAGGAATAGGATATGGACTATATGAAAGTTTAATGTTATCCTATATCTAAAGCCTGTCTTGAGGATCATTTCATTTGGTTATGCGAACGATACTATTTTCATGTTACAATAACTTTTGATGGTCATAAGTATTGACATATGCTGTGCTAATATATGTTAATTGAGAATCCCCTAAGGGGTACCTTTAAGTAGTTGCCTGATTCCCATTTATTTTTCCAAAGTTTTCGTTTATAATTTGAGTATATATCATCTGATCGGCTTCCAATTTTCAACGCTCGTGTACTGTAACCCATTGAAAACATGCAGTTACTGGCATGTACAGGTGGCCTGTGGCCTCTGGTTAATGTTAAGTAGATCATCCCTGGTTTTGGTTTCTATGCGATGGCTTGAGAAAGCCTCTTCTGATCGTGTTCAAACGTTCATCACTGGTGTATGCTACTTGAAAGGTCAGGAAGGTTACTGGAGTGTGTTGGTACCATTTTGGCACTTTCATTTTTAAAATGGTATGGTGTTATTTTCCGTAAAGCATTTTGACTGCCTCATCTGAACAGCCTTCAACTTTTAACGCTGAAGAATTTTATGAGAAAGATAATAACCCATAAGCTTAGGCAGTGTAGGTTAAAGAACTTGTGTAGTTAAAGAACTTGGAATTGTTGGAATCCATACAGTAACTGGAAAATACCTCTCCTGGTTGGCTTCATACTTTTCACACTGGTGTGTCGTACTTAAACGAAGGTTCAGATTTTAAGTGGACTTTGTAGGCTCCAATTTGCAAAATGTATTTGTAAAATTTCTGGAGTATAATGACTTGGAGTACTAAGAAATTTGACTACTAAGCTGAAAATTTTAAGAGATCTCTATAATGTTTTAAATCTGCACTGTGTAATTTATTATACATTTTTTTTTATTTAAAACCTACATCAAAATTTAAATGTTAAACCTAATTTAAGAATTGATATTTTAACAATGTTGTAATCTAGTATGTGTGACGGTAATATGTCTTGGCTGGTAGGCAGTTACAGGTGTTAGATGATATACATACGTCCGCTGATTGATAGTAACATGTGTTAGATGGTAGGCAACTACATGTGTCAGCTGGTAGACAGTTACTTGTCACTTAATAGACAGTTGCATGCCCGTGTACTATAGATTTTAGTACATAGGAGAGACAGATAACAGAGGATTTTCAAATTCACACCGAGGTTGTCTGCTCCGAACTATCAACTTCTGTTTGGTATTTACAAATTTGAGGCAAGGATAGTAAAGCAGGAGGCTCTTTCCCCACTTTCCACTCCTGCCACTGCCGGCATGATCACAGGGAGAGGTATATACCATATTGGAAAAAATGTGATGCCCTTCTTGAAAGAGATGGAAGTGGATAAAAGATACGTGTCAACTGGTAGAGAGAGAGAGAGAGAGAGGAGCGTGTACTCATCCCACATCCAAACTCCCATGCCTACGCAATGACTTCATTCACTTCTACAAGAGAGAAAGAAGATGCCCACTGTCCTCAGAGACACCACTTGCCAACTTGAGGATGTAATATCAGCCAGCAGAGCCTTCAATGGCGAGGAGATATCACTGGCTTTACTTTTATGTATAAGATCACAGTTACTTCTAAAGTGCATTGCATGCTATCCAGATATTCGACTCCCATCATCCTTCGTATACAGCTTTGGCTATGTCGATTTGTATTAAGCACAAAGAAATTTTATTTTGCTTGGTCCCTGGACATGTCGATGTTCAGGGCACTGAGCATGCAGACTCAGCCGTTTGGTTAGCTGTTCAAGACCTTCAGATTTCCCATAGGGGTATTCCTTACCAGGAGTTTACCTGGAGAGAGTTCCGGGGGTCAACGCCCCCGCGGCCCGGTCTTACTCAGACTTTTTTGCAATTCTCTCTAACCACCTGGTATCAACCCTGGTCCACACTGAACAACAACAAATTGTTTCCTATCAAACCACGTTTAAGATTCTGGCCATCTTCCCATCGTTGTCAGGTTTGGGAGAACACACTGTCGCGTTGATATATTGGACGCATGCGTCTCACTCATGGATATTACATAACGACAACTGGCATCACTGTGTGAGTACTGTCAGGTCGCACTGCACATCAAGCATTTCTTAATAGTGTCCTGCTTATCAGAGTGCACGTAGGATTCACTTCCGACGTCTGTACCGCCCTAACTCTCACTCTGACCTTGCTGAAAGTCCCACCTTTGATGCAGACTTTCTCTTTGACCTTTTAATTGATACTAACCTGCAGCACCAACTCTGATTTTAATTTTATTTGCCCTAGTCCCCACTAACCTCTAACTTTACAAACCTCCTACCTCTCCTTCATTCTTAGCCTTCGCACATCCCTCCCCGCAGCGCTGTGATCCTTATGGGTTTAGCGCTTAATAATATAATATATATTATAATAATACCAGTGTTCTTAATCTTCCTGCCCTACTTGGCCCAGAGTGGTCGACAGTCAGAAGGCAGCCATTGTGCCACGCTAAGGGCAATCATCAGCATTTTCACTCTGTACATTTATTATGGGCATCATCTCACCAAGGATAATTAATTCCTGGATTGGCTCAAATTTTAAAAACAGACCTCCAGGAAAGCAGGTTGATTGAGGACATACAGCTTTGGTACAGTCATTATTTTTACATTCAAAACTAAGCGAGCTCTGGCACACATAGCTGAGATAACCCAAGATTATTAAATATTAAGATTAGTAATCCGGGATAACCACTGGCTTATTTCCACTGCAGTCCTTTGGTCCTCTTTCCCAGGATGCGACCCACACAAGTTGCTAGTCCGACAGGGGTAACATGTGTAAGGAAACATGCCCAGTGCTTTTCGTCCTGTGTTCTAACCCAAGTCCTTCAGCAGCGAGCCGAAGGTGCTACTACTTTTGCCACGAACAGCCTTCTCTAGGTACTTCATCATATCAGAGGTTGTTAATATTCTTTATAATTTATCGTCTTATTAATTAATATATTGATATTTAACATCTTATTTAATATTTATCTTTTTAAATATTAAACATTTAATAATAACACCTTATTAAATATTAGATATCTTATTTAATATTTAGCATCTTATTTAACATTTTCTAACAGTTTCTTTAGTATCTTTTTAACTTTTAATATCGTATTTAATATTTAACATTAATTTCAGACAAACTGAAAAAATTTGGTGGCTTGGATGAGGTAGCTTCGGTTTTTTATTTTAAATGTCAAAACTCACTTAGAAATAAATCACGTTGCTCGAATTTTGGAAGGATATACTAGAGTAAATTATACATAACTTATCATTATTTAAGATTATGTAAGCCAAAATAATAAAAAAAGTTTACTTAGGAATTCATTGCCTAATATCATTAGCGGTACACAGTAGTATCTAACAGCTATAATTATGATTATAATTTTTTAAAGGGGTGGACCGGTATGCCAGCGGAAGGCTTCGGTCAGATGACCAAAAGCTCCAGTTGGGGGGTAATCATATGACTATAACCCGCGTCAGGAAGCACTTGTCCTATTTCCTGACGAACCTACTTAACTAAACCAAATTCGTTGCTTTCTGCCTGTTATTCAACAGGAGGGTATCTTGGTGCCGATGAAATGCTCTTTATCCAAGGCATTTGAGCTACCACTGTTTCTTCTGATCAAGCCTGATTATCTCCTGTTCCCTTGGTGATGCATGACCCATGCGAATTTAACGCTTTCCTATACCATGACACCCTTTTCTCTCACGTGGCGCCCCTGCCACCACACCGTGCCCTTGCCACCACACTGTGCCCCTGCCACCCACCCATGAGTGTGTCTTGCAATCCCCGCCCACACATATTAACACGCCCACATTCCTTCTTTTAAATACCGTAACTGTAATCCTAGAGACAACACTCACTCACCAACACAAGTCCTTTAGCTCACTCACTCGCTAGCACAAGTCCATTCACTCGCTAACACAGGAATGTCCGCTCACCAATATAAAACTGTTCACTCACCAACCGTAGTCCCGATGCTCCGGAACTAATCTCGTAAGGATTATTTGAACTTTCTCTCTTTTCTGGACTGTCATGGGAATGTTTTTAGAAGTATGAACAGATCTGTAACTCACTCTTATTACATGAACGTAGATAAACGCATTTAAAAAGTAACTTGCAGTGTGAACACACTGGCGGATATTGTAGTAGCCAACGCTGGTGAGGGGCTCTTGATCTAGGGAATTGGATCTGTGCTCCGGTTCCCTGAATTGAGTCTGAATATCTTCCATCCCCTCCAGCCGCTGTATAATCCTACGGGTTTAGCGCTCTTCCATGACTATAATAATAATAATTGTAGTAGCCAAGCTTAAGATTGGTTACAAGCCTTATGTAACCAGCCTTATGGTGAATTTCTTGAAAACTGTGTGCGTAATTCCACTTTTTTAATGGATATAGCGGTAGTCCGTACACTAACTTATATATGTCAAGGTATCTCATTAGTGAATTAAAATTTCGAAAAAATTGAGCAAGTGTCCTCAGTTTGTTCTAAACAAAATATCACTTTGTAAATATACAACCAAAGATACTCCTGTAAACCCTTTTAGGGCCTAGTTCATAGGCTTTGTGTGTTTCCATATGCTGTTGCGCTACCGTTCACAGGTTGGATATGGAGTGTATAGTAAACTACCCGCTTCGGCGGCATAATCAAATCTGA